ACGACACACAAATATATATATATATATATATATATATATATATATATATCTACTATAAACACAATACATACATGCGTAAATCTTATAAATGTACTACAAAGCCATACGTTTAGGCTCGTATTTCACAATAACCGAAGAAACAAATAATTCTTACTACATACATGCATGTGTCTAGTACGTATCATTTAAAGCTTTACCTATAACCTCGCGTGTTTCAGCATCCGAATCATCAAGTTTCTACAAAAAGATACAATACAGTGCCATACCTATAGGCACATGCGTCGCAACATCCGAGTTATCCAGTAGTCCTTCAGTCTCCGGTTCAGTCACCTGGTCAAATTCATCATCGTCTAGATCATGCGCACCTCGGTGTGGATTTAACAAATACACCCGGCCTATTGCAGCCATTAATAGTCCTACCAGCGGGGTCATACGGAATGCCCATCGCCAACCAAACATTGATCCAATGACTCCGCCAGAGTATCCCATGGCACCGCCTAAGGTTTCAGGAAAAGAAACGAAGGCGTTGGGACAGGATGCAACTAAGGTATATAATTTTCCAGCAATCGCGAAATGCTTGAATATGTAAATCTGATGCACACGGATCCAGATAGGAAGGAGAGGATATTTTACGTTTGAGTGAGATGCACAAGTTTTACTTCAGCACAATATGCCACGCAAATGTAGTCTATTCGTAGGACAAAATGTCAAATATTTAGTTCTAAAATAAAGGACTCGCAATCACAGTATCTGCACATTATAGACGATTAGACTTGCTAGTCTTCTATATAATACAGAACACGCGTTCAATTATCGGGCCTGTCTAAACATATAAAGTTTTGATTGTATTTTACAGATGAGTAACAGGCTTTCTTAATTTTTCATCGTATCTTAGGTGTTGATAAACTGAAAAACAAATACTGATTCAAACCCGCGCATAGTTTAAGACTCTGCTCAGTATACATACATACTTGTATATCATTGAATCCATAACATAGCGGCATCGTGAATCATCTTGAATCGACGATGCTGTATATATATCTGAGCTTCTACACATGTGCAACCCTCCCCCAATTAGCCTTACTCGTTTTTGCCTTTAGCAACAAGATTGAGCAATGAAGTTAAAAAGTAGAGCTAAAAACATCTGCCAGCTTGACACACCCAACAATTGAATACACATGCGTTAGGGATGGAACACTAATGGAAATGCATATCATGTTCCGAAATGCACATTCCAGTCAGACACATGAACCGCATACAACTTACCGAGTGGAATTCCTATGTAGAACAAGGCCAACGCTTTGGTCCTGGTCCTCAGTGGGTACATGTCAGCAATGACTGTGGGGGCTATGGTGGCATATGATGCCTCGCCAACACCCACTAGCGCTCTACAAACCAATAGCTGTGATTGTATTTGTTTTTAGATTGGCATGATATTAAAGTTGTTGTGCATAGAATGTACAGAAACAAGTAGGCCCGATATACATCGTACGTATCGATAGGAATTAAGCAAGGAGCCCGGACATCTTCTTGACTACATCTGAAGTACAGTAAGCAGTTACACCCACCACAGACTCATGTGCTAGGTCGACAGATGAATCTCTGAAATAAGACAGAACTTTCAGTACGTGCTAAATAAGAAAATTAGACTTCTCTTAATTTCCGTTGAAACCAGATACACTTATGATAGCGTGGACGGCTTGATCTGAATCTCTCCAATATATGACATTGAACGACGACAAATGAATCGATATGATACCTGCTCGTAAGTATTGCAGAATGAGCACAGCAGGGTGCTTAAGCTCCAAAATACGATCCCCGCGCAGATAATGGTGCGTCGATTGTAGCGATCCCCGAGGTATCCAAAAAACCGGGGCAAGGCACACAGGGGATAGG